TATTTATAATAGTACCAACACTGTGTAGTAGAAATATGAACACAATACCATTCTTGGAAAAGTTGTACAATTTTATTTAGCGTAAGAAGGTGCCCCAAAGAGATTAAGATGCCCTATTTCTAGATTGGAAGACTCCGTGTTATAAAAGTATCATTCCGCCCAAATGAGGTAATAGATTCAATGTAATACTAATTAAATCCTGACCAGTGTTCTTTGGCATTGGACAAGTTGAATAAGAGGGGAATAACAAATTTTGAGTTAGGTCTCTTACACTAGTAGCTACGAGAGGGTCACCATAAACTGGGTTGTTCAAACCCACTAGCCACTGGTAGGAGAAAACTGAGGCTTTCTGCTCCTGTAGAGTTAGTCTCTGAAACCCAAACCCACAGGGGCCAAGAAAACTGAGGCTTTCTGCTCCTGTAGAGTTAGTCTCTGAAACCCAAACCCACAGGGGCCATTGCGTTCTGTCCTATAGCATCACTTTGAGTCAGTCAACTCTATGGCAGTGATTTGGTTAACAGTAACAATCCTGACTTAAAATTCCAATTGTGCTTTCATTGATTCTATTCTGAAAATATAAAGCATTATCTCTGCATTTAATGGTCTTTGGATAGAGAAATTGTTTAAAATTTTAAATGCAAGAGTTTATGCTAGCTCTAGAAAATAGCATTGATGATACCCTTTATATCAATATAAGTTTTTGTTCTCTCACGACCTTTTAGAGACCACAAGTCTCTACAGCACATTGAGACTTTTGTCCTATGTGTTTCTTAGATCTGCCCACGTAGAGTTCCTGGGAACTTGATCATAGACCTAGTATGTTCAGGTGGCACCTCCGTATTACTTCACTGGATCTGATGATGTTGGAAACCTGGCCATTACTACTGAACTCCTGGTTTGGAGACAGTGGACCAATCTTACTGAGTATGTCTGTAACTATTGTCTGTAACCCTGTCTTATTACCAACCTTGATTCTGCCACCACTCCGAGTCTTATTTCCTACCTCCAAAACATGTTGAAAAAGCAACATCATCAAATCTGTTTGGTCTATGCAGGCTTAATCACATATATATGGGGGCTTGAGGTCTAGACTTAATATACAATTCAGAATGAAAAGCTTATGGTCTTCATTTCAAGATCTTCTGCTGTAACAATCCCCAAACGTAAACCTTAATAGGTTTCTTGACAATATTAAGTCAAATTCATTGCCCAAAAGTGTGATGAAAATTTTTAACTAGTTCTGTAATTTTTTAAAAGATTGTTTTATTGGCATGTAATTCTCCTGTAATAGAATTATAGTTCAGTCATATTAAGGGTATTCATTTTATGTACACTAAATCAAAACAGAATGTGAAGTTTGGTTTTGACTATATATTGTATTGCATATTACGTAATTCTGTTTAGTTCACTTAGCAAAACTGCTGCTGCTGTTAGGTACAGTCAAATCGGTTCCTCAGGAGAAAGATGAGTCTGTCTGTGGTTCCTTAAGGAGAAAGATGAGGCTGTGTGCTCCCATCAGGATTTAGTCTTTGAGAACCTGCA